AGTCCAGTTCCTTTGTGTTGGCTGAGATCCCTCCCTGCTAAATGGCTGGAAACCGGTAGTGGTCTAAAAATAGCCCAGAACACAGCTAAGAATAGGTGTGTGTGTGTGTGTGTGTGTGTGTCTGTGTGTGTGTGTGTGTGTGTGTGTGTGTGTGTGTGTGTGTGTGTGTGTGTGTATAAGTGTGTGAACCACAGGAGGAAAATAAAGAATAGGAAAAGAAGCAACTTCAGACTGAGTAACCACATTGAAGTTCCCCACAACCTCCTTCTCTTCCCTCCTTCCTTTTCCCCTCTCTGTCCAGTCCAGCACATACCTAACGAGAGGAAGTCAAGGACTTCATGTAAAAGTGTGTCCGATATTTATATATACACAATGAGATGTCCTTTTTTATTTCTCATTTAGCAGTGGAGGAAAAGATTAGATCCATAACTAAAATAACAGCAGCATTGCAGAAGCACTCTCGTGAGTTAAAACTAATACAGAAATACTGAAAATACCACATTAACAGTAGAGCAAAACTAATGTTACACTACTGTCTCACTTTTTAGTGTGCAAATTAAGGGTCAGAATTTTTTTCCAGGTCCTTAGTTATGTTACATCCTTTAAAGGAAATGATCCCCTGGGCAGCATTGGGGTGTGGTCTGTAGCAAGATGGTTCTGGGTTCGAGTCCACCAGCTGGCTTGGGGCCTTTTTGTGTGGATTTCATGTTCTCCCTGTGCCTGCATGGGTTCTCTCCAGGTATTCTGGCTTCCTCCCCAGTAACGTGGTCAATTAACATGGTCAGTGAATGCTTATATGTCCCTCTTTGTTAAACAAAGTGGGTTGGAGACCTGTTAAGGGTGTTCTCTGCATAGGTGGCAGTAGGATGGACCTCTCAGTGTGTGGTCTAAAAAGGTATTGCTGCATCACTGAGCTGAAAAAAAAGCAGACCTATCAGACAGAGCAGAAACTTTGGAGGTGATGAAAGGGACATTCTTCAAAAGAAAGGTAGTCAGACATACCTTTCATGAGCAACATTACACAACATCTGATTCGACAATTAATATAGAAACCGTCATAAAGGGGACAAAACTGCTTAATGATATATGAACTTTTCCAGTACTACAGAATCATGTTGGAGTTTTTCCCATCCTCTACAAACTGTCATTCACCAACCTCAGTCAGAAGTAATAGGTTTACAGCTGATAGCTACATAGAAGCTATTTCTTAAGGAAATTATGAGGAAATTTTCAGAGAAATGCGTAGAAAGTTTGGGATCCATAACTTGAATGTTTACAGTTGTTTCTTGTGTCTTTGTAAATAATGTTGGTCTAATTTTGGACAAAACTGCCATCTGCTGCCTGCGATGGTGTAAATGTTGCATGTCATGTTCCTTGGCACATGCTCACTTTCAGAGCAACTGCGCACACACACTGACGCTCACATAGATTTAAAGTATCGTCTGATGTTAAAGAGAAGGAGACCGCTCACGAAAAGAGATGCCAATGGAGCAAGTGAAGCCAAAAAGAGAAAACAAAATGGATGGAAAAGCAATGAATGGTGGAGTTGGGTGGGAGACGGGCAGCTGATTTGATATTATGGGATCTCCCTTTCCCTCTTTCCTCGTCAGCTGTCTCCCCCTAAGTTGCAAATGCCAAAGCAGGAATCTGTTCCAGCCACCTGCTGTTACACATATTCAGCCCTGACAAACACACACTCCTCATCAGTGGTTGGAAATAACTAAGACCTCAGAACACGTACTTATGTATTTGCATTATTATGTGAAGACTGTGATATCGCTTACTGAACAGAGCACTGTCCAAATATCTGGTTACTTTGGAGCAGTCAGGGATCAAACCACCAACCTTCTGCTCTACCTCGTGAGCTACAGCCACCCCCAAATAATGCTTTTGAATTTCATTAAAACACAACAAGACTAAAGATGTAATTTAATGCTCTTTGTATTCAGACATATTTTGTACAAAGAACCTAAGAACGTTGCACCTGATTTAACAGCACTGTCTGACAACACCAGCTCACACCACTTAATGAATGTGCTGTGATCTTGGCTATATTTACAAATGATCACTGAGCGACAAAGTTAGACACAACAGAGTGACGCTCAAACAGGGCCTAGCTTTGGTGTGGGCACAGCTGCTGCCCAGAGAGAGAGCTGGAGGTCAATGAGGGCAAGAGTTCTGCTATAGAGCAGTGCTCTCCATAGATATTTCACTAGGTGCCTTAAAAGAAAGGCACCTAATGCTGTATAAATGAAATAGAATTGAACTCTAATGAATGTTAGCTGAATATTTGCGTGCGTTTCTATCAGTCTCACCACTGGCAGCTAAATTTCCCCACTACCTTTTACAAGTAATTGACTGATTGAAAACCACCAGTTAAGTTTCCTCCATTCAGTTTATACAGTAAGAAGCAATGATGTGTATTGCAGTACCTAGAAGTATATGAATCTGTAACACATTAGCTTCATCTCGGCAAACTACAACACTAGTCCCTTGGAAGAATTTAGTGTATACTGTGTACTTGTATGTTACAACTTGAATTGCTTTTTCTTAAGTATCTTATTAGATGGATGCAGTAGAGATGGACAGGATATATGGGAAACAAATAGGATTCAGTCAGATACGCTATGGAAAGATGAGTTGGATGGAATTTTGTAAGGTAGATCTTACAATAATACAACAGAGAAAACCCCAACAATCATAAGACCCCCTCTATGAGCTAGCGCGTTGGCAACAGCGGGAAGGAAAAACTCTCTTTTAACAGGAAGAAACCTCCAGCAGAACCAGGGTCAGGGAGTGGCAGCCATCTGCCGTGACAGGGGTGGGTGAGGGGAGGAAGACGGGACAAAAGACATGCTGTGGATTGGAGGTGGGTTTCAAAGCAGCTGTTATGTGCAGCAACTGTAGGCAAACCAAAGCAGCTTAAATGATGTGCATAGATTTGTCTGCCGGATGGGTGAAAGTGAGCGGGTGAAGTTGCCTGGCTGCAGTTAAAGCTTGACTGCGTGGCTGCTGATGTAGCTGACAAACAGCTACAGATAGGTTTCTGTTAAAGAAAAGAAGCTGCAGACTGAACTACTTGTGAGGCTTGTTAGCAGATTTGCCTGCTTGGTTGTGGAACCTTTTAAAATCCTGGAAAAGTTTTTTGTTTTCTTGTCAGTGATTGTCTCTTAACAACAATCGCCTCATCTTGCACACTCTCCCCATGATCACTTATTCTAATTTTCCGAGAGAGAGAGAGCGAGAGAAACTGTGTGTGTTGTCTTTTTCTTGATCTTTGTGAACATTTTATCCACATAACCCTGATGCTGTAACCTCAGAGGCTAATTGTACAGATGATTGTGCAGACTGCCAATTACTCATCAGGTTATCGTCATTATTATAGAGGTAATTTTTCCCGTGATAATTACTGAGATTAATTTATCTCTCAGCCCTAATTACAATTTTGTTTTTCTTCTATCCTCTCAAATGAATCATTTCACAATCGCTTTGGAGTTGGGTCAAACCTAAATTTGAAACCAGCAGACTAAGACTAACTTTAATGCTTAAACACTGTTTACAGATGTAATACCAGCCATTAGGAGACCTCTACTTTACCTTAAATTCACATTTTATTGCATTAACGCGTGGAGTATTTTTACAGTTTGCTCCTTTAATAAGTTAATAAGTAAAATGTTTCCACCTGACTTCCTTGCATTCAGTCTTTATTTCCACTAAAAAAGCAAAGTGAGGCGTAATGTAGTAGCACTGTGTGCTCTGTGTGTATTTGATGAGGGAAAAGTAGGCTAGTGGAGTCAGTTTTATGTTTTAATAGAGCAGCCAGATTGACAAATTGCAAGGGAGTGACGAGGAACACTGCGGAGCACAGGGGCAAAAAATAACCTTCTACGGCTATCCTTCCAGTAGCCACACTGGTATTGGTGGAAGCTGCCTCACCCCTCCCCTCACTGCAGACCCTAACCCCCCCTCCCTTTTAAAGCACAACAGGTGTACATGACTGGGATGAGTGGGATAGCTGCTCCAACAGTCATATTTGTATGTCTGTGTTTGAAAGAGGCACTGCCATGCTCATACGGTGACAGACTGGACTAACGGTCTGTGAAGCGCTGAAGCAGGCCACCAAGACCCAAACCACACACATGCACAAACAGACGCACACACACTCACATCACCATCATCATTATCATCCAATATCTGTGTAAGAGAAGAGATTTCCCAATATTCACATGAAGCATCTGACCTTTGAGAGACACACACACACACAAAAATTAAATTCTGTTTATTCTTCACACATAACATGAGTATAAAAATTCAGAGACCTTTTTGTGAATGCTGTCACATGCTGGTGAAATGAGTATGTTGGGTTTGATTGTACCACTTGCATTTTACACTGCTGTCTGGCTTATAGAAGTCAGTTTGGAACCTCACTGGTGGGATAGCTGCTCATTTATCGCCCTCTTGTGGTTGGAAATGTTTGTTCTAAGTTCGACCTCTTCATTAGAAGAAGAGTCCTGGTGAAAGATCAAAACTTTCTCAGAGCAGACTAACTAACCACACAACCAGGGCCTTTAATTCATAAAAATCATATTTAGATTGCATGTTTTATAGTTTTATAGAGCTACTAATTGTAGTAGTCACAAGTAGCAGTGCAGTGCCAGTCCGATGCCTGTATAAACGGAGAGGCTACCATCAGGAATGGTAGTCATTGTTAGTTTGAATATGTGGGTCATCAAGAATGAGATTTCCATTCCAGATTCTTCTGGACTGGATAACAATTACTGCCTCTGATGCTGTTGGCCAACATGGTGCTGGTGGAAACTGTACTACTGCTGGCTGAATGCATAGCAACAGAAATAGAGGGAGGTGTGTTAGGAGGCAGCGAGAGGGAAAGAAAGGCAGGGGTGTGGAGTTGAGAGTAGGGACTATGGCTGCTAAAGGGAAAGCTGATATGATGGAGAGAAGGATGGTCAATTTTGACTTTGGACATCAAGACGACTAAGGAAGTGAAGGCAGACGTAAGGATTTAAACAATTTAAGTCAAAAAAGGAAGAATTATGCACTTAGTTCAGGGAGGAATTGAGAAAGGCTCTGGGTGGTAGGGCAGACTTACCAGATGACTGGAAAAGTACAGTTGAGGGAAACTGCCAGAAGGTGTTTGGTGTATCAGGACAGAGCAAAGACAATGAGGAATGTTGTTGGAATGAGGAAGTTTTAGCAAAGGAAAAGTGCGATAGCCATAAAGAGAAATAAAGTAGACAGGAGTGCTGGGAGGCTAGATGTACAGCAGAGAGAAGGGAAGCAACAAAAAGGCTTATAGTGAGTATGGAGGAAAGTTAGCAAATGAAGAAGAGTTGGATGAAGATTTGGTCCAGGTGACATACCTGTGCAGTTATGCAGATGTGTGGGAGAGAGGGTAATGGACTTTTAGACCAGACTGTTTAACACAAGAGGGTGGACAAGCTTAGAAATGAGGACATCAGAGGGACAGCTCAGGTTGAGGGATGTGGAGACAAAGTTAGAGAGGTGAACCTGAGATGAGGTTTAGGCCATGTGCAGAGGAGAGATAGTGGACACACTTTACAAAAAATGTTGAAGATGGAGCTGCCGGGCAGGAGGAAAAGAGGAAGGTCTCAGAGAAGATCCGTGGATGTAGTACATACAGTAAAGTCACCCTGCTGTGTTTGACTCTTTTGTTTGTCTTCTTTTATCCAGACCCTGCGAAAGAAGGGTTTAAACGGCTGTGAAAGCCCTGACATCGAGGCTGATGACTCTGCTGGCCAGAGCCCAGAGTTGGACGATAAATGCCGGAAAATCAATGAAGACATTGACCTGATGATCAACCGACAGAGAATCTGTGTATGTTCACACCTGCTCTTTTTGATGCATAGCGTTGTTTTAAGCAGCTTCGTGTTTCCTTACCAGTGACGACTGGCTTTGTTTGTTCTATGTGCAGGGTCTGCCCTCCAACTATGACATGGGTATATCCATCCCAGGCAGTAATCAGGGTGGGCTGCTCTACTCCCATCAGGGCATAGGGGGCAGTCTAGGTAACCATAGCCTGCTGCCCATCTCTCACTCATCTCTGCAAAGAAACAGCATGTCACCTCAAAGTCCTTCCAGCACAGGAAATGCAGGTATGTTTGTGGTCAGTAGCTTTTTCTTCAGTCCTCATCAAAGACCTTATTAAATGTTCAGCTGTTTTGGACTGTAATACAGCTATAGCTCAAAATGGGCCTTTGGGCAAATAAGCAGGCTGGTCCACACCTAGCAAATACTCGGTGTTAACCTACCTAGCACGTGTTTTCCTGTTTTTTGTCTTCTATTTAAAAATCTTTTCACAATCCTGCTGATTTTCCTTTCATAGACAGCCTGACGCGCTGCAGTGTTTCCAGATTTTCTATATGAGAAAAAAAAAACCAGTATTGGCCAACATTTGGTCCAGCAGTGACAAAAAGGTGTAGCAGTCAGGCATTAATGGCATTTTAGACTTAAGAATACAACTTAAAAAGTGACTCAGCCATGAGTGTTTTCCTACTTTTTTCTATGATAATGACAATCAATAGATATGCTAAGGCCATAAGAGGATCATTTTCCCAGTAATCTTTCTATTGTGGGTTTGTGTTAACTTTGCATTTCCTAACACGGTTAGTAAAACTACAATTTTGCCAGCTGTGTTAGGTTCTCTTGAATCGTCTTTTTCTTTAGTAGTAATTTATTGGGAGCCCTATATAGTATGTTCATTTGAATAATTATTATTCTTAAGAATGAAGACAATCTCTGCATATCAGGTTTGGAATAACAGCTGAGCTCTACATGATAAATAGTTTGCAAAAGTTCCTGATCAAGAATCTAACACCCAAAGTATTATGGCGTTGTATAATAAAAATGAGCAACAAAACCCAGATTGTATACTCATTTGATGTGTGTGTTTCTGTCTGTAGGACTGATGGGTTCAGAGCTGTCGAGCACTGTTTTGTCAAGTGTGGGTAAGAACGCAACTCTGTCTTATTTCTTTATATATATCTCTCTATCACTCTCTTTGTATAGATAGATCTTCGTCATAACAGAGTAAACTGAACACTGTCTTTGGGTCACCTAAATATTAAATGACATAAACGTGTGAAAAGTCAGATAACAGAGCAGCCATAACTACAAATGTAGATGATGTTTTACATAACAGTCGGTTTTAGGCACTGAAAGAACAGCCAGTTCTTGAGGGGCTTCGTCTACATTCCTCCACTCCGTCAGTTGTTGCTGCTGTGGTGAACATGATAGTGTAGTCTTCTAGTGGAAACAGGTAAAATGTGAGTGTAGTGGATCCAGCACTGCTGATTAGGGCATCATTATGTATATGTTTGCGCCACCTTGTGCTCAGTATGAGAAGAAATATGCCTGCTCTAAACAGTAGGTGTTACCAGTGGTAAATGTCATCAGGGTTGAGTAAATCAGGGTGATGATAGGTAAATCCTGTGCTGTAAATCTCCTCTCTCTTAAAAGTCCAGCTGAAAACACACCATCCTCTTTCAGGCTCTTCTCACACACTAGGATCTTGACAAGATCAAAACTGGTAGCACGTGGTTGGGTGTGCAACTTTTTTCTTTTTTTTAACCTGGAACCCTTTGGTTGCTAAGATATAGAACATCCATCGATGAAATATCTTGCAAGTACCTCAACAGCTTACTGCTGCTAGACCCACAATTAAAAAAGGTGCTTCTCAGAGTGTCATTTTTCATTTCATTTGGTAATTTGAGGACATGCGTGAAGAAAACTGTAGCGATAATGTCTCTTCTTGCTATTTAGCACTCGTGTAAGTCTCCTCCCCTGTGATTGGACAGCTAGGTATCTCCCCTGTATCCAGTTCAGATGAGGAATAAAGCAGTACATTGGGAGTCTGTCATTGCTCATTGTTCAGCTGCTTAAACTCTAAAATATAAAATTCATTTCTGAGACAGACAATCTTCCCTCTCTGGTTATTGACTTCAGCTAGAGTTTGCAGTTATAAAACTTTGAGTGGATGAGCACGTTTTCAGACTTTTTCATTGGAGTGATGCACTTTGAACTTTCTCCCCAGATGTTCCGTTAAAGAGTGCTCCAGTAGCATTCAATCAACTATACATCTGCAGATACTGAAGTTAAAGACACTTTTACCAGCCTCACACTAGAAAAAGGGAAGATTCACCTATTTTATGTAAAAATGGTGTCGCACGACATCTTAGAACATCCTGCTGAAGTGGTTGGTCAGAATCAGAAGTTTGAAAACAGCAATGATAAATATACTTCCATGAAATATAGGCACAAATAAAAATGGGTTTGGGGTACAGTAGTGATTTTGTAGTCATTTGTAATGAGAGATACCTTTTTAAAACTTTGCCCGACCAGGAAACGACAGCTACAGTAACCACTGCACCTCCCCTGGACTGCTGTCTCCAGGAAGCGCCCCCAAGAACATGCAGGATAAGAGTCCTTCAATGAACATGAGCCGTAAACCTGACCTGCGAACACTGATGCCCCCTTCCAATAAGTGCAACAACATACCAGCTGTTGTAAGTGCTTCCTTCTGCTTAGTCTTTTGATTTGTTTGATTTCATAAGTTGATTTTTATGTGCGGACTCATTTGAGTTTGTGCTTTATTGCTGCCCTGCAGTGTGAGGACTTTGACCTGATGTTGGTAAGTAGCTCTGAAAAAAATCTGATCAGCAGAGAGAACCATACTTTTCATGTATGCCTCCTTCTGCTAGTTTATAGATGATATACAAGCTACAAATATGTGAAATTAGTGCCAATGTCATTTACATTATTACCTTAAGTAAGGGAACTATTTGTACTTTAGAGATATTTGAAAAATTCTGCCGCTGAAGTGATTTTAAGGAACCATGAAGAAAGGCTCCTGAAGATGAGCTTGAAAATTTAGGATCTCTAAAGGAGTTATTGGCATGACCAGGTTACCGTGAATACCAGCAAACGCTAGAAGTACCACTTGAGATTACTGATTTTCTAAAATGAGCAAATCATGATTACCAGGCATGGCAGATAACCATAAAATGCTGGCCCTGAATCAGCTGTCACTGTTTAGCTTGGTGACATCTTACCTTTTCTTTGCAGAACCAGAGAATAAATCACTCCCAGACAGCTCAGACCTTGTCAACCCCTGCTGTCACTCTCTCTGCCACCACTATCCCCAGTCAGGGGATGGGTGGGTACCAATCTACACTTTCCTCATCTTATGGCACAGGTGATTACAACAAAAGCACACTGCTGCTGGGCTCCACAGGTTTCCTCGTCTTTGCTCAAGTTTCTCTTTTTGTCCATCTTCAGATTTCTCCCTCAGCAGTGACCTGCCATCGCTGTCCGGTTTTGGAGGTTCTGTTCTGGGATCAGTGAACTGGCAGCAACAGCAGATACAGAATCTACAACACTCAGCACTGGGACACATGGGGTAAGCAGCTGTGTATATTACCTTCAGGCCACAGGCCAAGCCTTAGAAAGAATTGTCCAGAATCAATGCAATAATTTCAGCTGTTAGTGTCCTGGTTTATCCAGCATACACTGGAAAAAATGAAAATTAAAAAAATAGTTTAATTAATAGTAATTGTTACTTAATTATTCAGAAATCCCCTTAAAAAACAGACATTTCCACGGAGCCCAAGTGCAACATGATCACATTTCTGTAAATCAATGTTTCCATCCACTTGTATGTTCAATTGGAAACAGCAGCCAAAAACAAGAATCTTCATATTCTCACCAAAGAATTAAAACAAGCGTTTAATCGACATTTCCTCTAAAGACATTCTTAAAATTTGCTTTGCTCTGAGTTTAAGATGCTGTTTCTCTTGCTTTGATCTTACAGGAATTTGTGCCAGAACTCAAACCTAAACCTCTCCTCTGGCCATCAAAACGTCCACATCAAGTCTGAGCCAGCCTCCCCTCCCAGAGACCGGATGGTTGGAACAGGACTTGAAGGAGGCATGACCACAGTTGGATACTCCACCACAGGCCGGGGGTCCCATGAACAAGGGCGTTCCCCTGGTGACAGCGTGTCCAGCTATGGGAGCTCATATGAAGGCAGCGATGAGCGAGAGGATCACCATGGGAATGACAGCTTCCTCCTCCACCCCCTGTCCAGTCATGAGGAGCACCACAACCCATCAGTTAAACGGATGAGGCTATCAGAAGGGTGGACGGCATGATCAGAGCCTCTCTACAGCCGGGGGAGGAGTATTAGTAAAGTTACCGCATAGTGTTATTATTATTATTATTATTATTATTAACATCATATTCTTCTTGTACTGAGTGGGTGTGCTATATGTGTAACATGTACATGGGGGTGGGGCTGCTATGTGTGGATACAGTGATTGCTCAGCTGTATTTCCAGCATATACTCTTGGTAGACTTCACACTAATGACTCCTTGAAGTTCAGAACCAGTTTTCAGACATCGAGAAAGAAAAGGAAGAAAACTGTTTGACTTAAATCCAACTTTTTCCAGTTTTCAGAGCTTCATATTGTCCAAGGAAGTTTTTATTCATTTATTCATTTGATAGTAAAAGTGAACCAGGCCAATCCCAACCAGAGCCAGATTCTAAAACATCCAAAAGCTTTAAATGAAAGAGTTCAGTCAAATTAAAGAAGTGCTCAGTGAGTTAGATGAGACTTTTGTCTGGGCCTAAAAGTATTCATAATCACTTCTTCTTACTGTTCCAAAGGCGGGTGTTCATATCATTCATTTCCCAATGTTGAGGTCAGTGAATATATGAATAATCCCAAAGAGTCAAGAAAAATGGATGTATTAGAGGAATGTAGGAGTGTAAAAAGAACAATATAAAAATTCTCCTGAAAAGGAAATACTTCAGTAAATCACAAATATGTGAAAAAATTAAAAACAACTAGTTTAAACTTCAACTAGTACAAAGAAAAAAGTAAGAAGGAAATAGCCAACTGTTTTCATTCATAAGTAAAAGCTTGAAATTGTTAAGAGTTTCTTTCCCCCCCACCTTTTCTACAAACACTGTTGGTCCATGATATCATTCAGGAGCCAAACATATTGAAGCTGTCAGAGGGGCTGTTGGTGTACATGTATTGCTTGTTTTATGTGTGTGTGTTCATGTGTGTGGGTATAAGCAAATAACATATGTACATATGTGCTACTTATGAGCATATGTATGCAAAGCAACAAAAAGATCAAGGTGAGAAAATCTGGTACTCTGAATAGTGACTCTAATGGTGAATTTAATGTCAGGTGGCTAAATGGAGCATCAGTTCACTGCTGCAGGTACAACATATTTATGCACATAATCAATCACTCATGTAACCAGAACGTATGGAAAGTAAAGTGTGGCGAAGAAAATGGGTTGAAAAAACTGGGAGTATGAGTAAGTGCAGGAAGAGAAAGTGATGTCAAATCATGAGAGGTTTCATTGTGAGGGAGAAGAAAGTGATCTGGAACAAGTTGGAGAGAAAACAAGTTTCATTTATTGTGAAGACAATTTCAGAGCAAAAGGGGGGACTACAGTTAATTCAGACATGATACCAAAAACATTAGAAAACACTGAAGCAAAAAAAAAAGCTGTGATTGGAAGTAACTAAGTAAGTAATTCTGACAATGACCCACCTCAAAGTACTTTAGTTAAAATGTCAGTCACACAGGCTACATATGCACAAAATGATGTATATTAGCAGAAGGAAGCTAAAAGCTGTAGGAATTTTATTATTAATTAGAATTGTATCATTAATTATTATTATATAAATAATAAAACCAAAAGAAATGAGGAAATTACACCCAAATTCTGGTTCTAAATGTAGTTTGTAAAATTAAACAATAGATTTACTTACTTTCTTTTTAAAATGTTCAAATGTAAGTAATCTGAAGTGAAGTATAGTTCACAATTTGGTATCCAGTTTATAAAAAGACAATCTAAACGTTGTTATTCCTAAGAAAACAAACGAGGTCGTGTGTGGAACCAGACAGCAGAGGGCGCTCGCGTGAGGCGACTGCAGCAATGAAACTGTTATTCGTGTCTTTGTAATTGATGCATGAAAGTTAGCATTTGCTGATAGCTTTGCAGGATTTAGCAGTCAGGGTGAGGATCCTAAAAGCCATATTGACTGGGACAAGGGATGCTTTGCTGCACAGAGTTTGTAGTGTAGTGTTTTTCAAACTAAACTTTGCTTGTGAGATCAGATTGATATATTTTTGGATGTCTGCAGTCCCGTGTAATAACAATGTTATAAAAAGCAGCAGCAGAATGCACACATGCACACCGTTTCCCATCAGATGTTCAGGGAGACGTTTGCTCTAAGGTAGAAAAAAGTTTGTTTAGCTGGTGTCAGACCCAACGTGATCTCACAGCGACAATCCGCCAGAGCACAAAGGACAAAGCTCCTGTTTTCCACTTACCACTTTCATCATTTTTAAATACTAGCAGCGGTGGAAGAAGTCCTCAGGACGGTTAAGTTCAAGCGAAGTACCAGCCAAAAATGTTACCCGTTAGACTGTCCACCATGGTTTAGTCAAGTCAAGGGTGTAGATTTGGCATGGACGGATGGGACAGTAAAGAAAGACATTGAGTTGTTGTGTGGGACACCAGTAGTCCATGTCTGTTGCTGTAACAGTAGTTCATGTTTAGAATAAGAAATTCCAGCTCGCTGATTTGATAGAGGCAATAGTGCCTAAAATGTTGCATAATTTTGGTGAGAGATCTTTTACTTAGAGGAGTAGTTTTATGGACAAAAACCACCAGGTCATTCAGTGTTCC